ATTTGGAGTAACCCTTGTTTTTCTTCACTATGCTGAGAAGTTGGCAAAGTTCCATAAGTCTGTTTAATCAAAAAAACATAAATTCTTTAAAAATTAACAAGAAACAATGATATGATGTAATTTCTTACTTGTTTTTCCTTGTCTCATTTCCTCTAAATTTTTCATTACCTTGTATCTTAAATAAAGCAAAACCTGGCTCATAGTTGGCATGTAAGAAGTGTTTTTTGAGTTAAGAGGAAAGGAAATGAGTAAATATTTTAATTGTGACCAGAGGCAATGGCTTTTCAATGGAGGCTGAATTAAATTATCCAGGTTAGAAAACATTCTGCCACCTGCTTCTCTTATTCAAATGCAAAACTACTTGGATTAATTTCTTGGGATAAAAGGCTTAAAGTAATTAAATTATAAGGGCAGGCTGAACAATTTTATCGCATCTTTTATCTACAATTAGGGTTTTAGTGTTAAAGGGACCCTGGAGATGAAATGGCTCAACCTCCTTATTTATAGGCAGGGAAACCAAGACCCTGGGAGTTTAAAAGGCTTCATCCTGTGGTGACTAAGCTGCAGGAGGAGAATTTGCTTCTTGCTTTAGGGCAGTTGCCTATATTAACACTGCCATCTATTTCAGGACACTTACATATCTACAAAAATTAGACGGCAACATAAAAACTGCAGATGAGAAAATTGGCATTTGGGTCAGAGAAACCTGGATTTAAATCCCTATTCCACCACGTACTAGTGGTGTGGGCTTGGACAAATTGTCCAAAGTATTGGTCAAGTTACCTAATTGCTCTGTGCCTCAGTTTCCTTATCTATAAAGCAGGAATGACAAACTCTTGTCATCTTCAAAACAGAAATAACAAGACTTCATTGATTGATTATTAATGATAAATGCAATAATGAATATAAAGGACTATCACCAGCCAGGTGCATACTAAGCAATCATTATGCCTTAACTTTTATTATAATATAAATTAGAAGTGGGAGAGAAAGTTGAAGGGAAGAGATACAGGAAAAGATAGTCCTATATTTTGCTAATAGCAGGCCTCGAATCTGGCTTCAAGCTTCCTTACAGCCAATATGGAGAAAGAAACATGACTGATTATACAGTTCACAGAGAACTTAGATATATTAATTGTATATATTTAGCCAAACCAGAACTTCCCTCCTTCACCCCCATCTTTGAATTTCTAATCAAGGTCTCTTTCTACAAGACACAACAGTATAGGTTTTAGAGACTTGTTGAATTATAATAAGGGCTTCCCAAGTTTGCATGAAATTCTGTCTTAGCATTTCCCACATAGCCACCTGGCTTCTTGATAGCAGCTGTAGGACAGAACCCAGCTTAAGTGTCTTCCCCTTGGCACAGTCCATTCTCAGAAAGCCCAAGACCTTGGAAAGGGTCAGGGATGAACTTGGGGTCATGTTGCTTATTTCCCTCCCCCACATCAGGTGCTCCTTTGTCACAGGGACCAGCCTTATCCATCTTCACGTTTTCCTTCCTTGCGTGTTATACATGGTGGATGCCCGGTCAATGTTTGTGATTTGCAGTCATAAATGAACATGCGTGGAAGAGTTGCTGGTATGAGAGCCCTTCCAGTTTAGGGCTGGAAGAGAGATTATTTCTACATCAGGCAATACAGACCTTTTATCTAGCTCCGATGACAGTGCTCAAGGCTTAAATCTCAGGATTTTACATGAAAAATAAAATCTATATGAACTATTCTTGCCTGGGTACTGAGGTGCAACGACTTGTGTTATTAAATGTCAGAATGAAATAGGATTAGTTTTCTTAACAAAAAGGAGAGAAGTATAATTCTAGCACTTCGGGTATTTTTCGGAATGGATATATTAATCAATTTCCTTTCGAGGCATGTACGTCACTACACCTCAAGTAAAGTCCTGACCAAAACCTCATATCTCAAAGGCCTGGTGTGCATTTTGCTTAGGATATTGACGAATATCTTACTGTTCTTTTTGTAACTACCTATGTTCCTTTTCTGTAACTTTCTTGCCTGGACAATAAATGCTGAGAGAAAACCCTGATTCTAGGTTAGTTTCCAAGAATTCTTCTACCTTGAAGGATTTGTCTGGAATTAACCCTTTTCGGGCCTCTCACTGCTCAGAAGAAATGGGCTTTGAGTAATCCTTTGCGTCTCCGTCACCTGGGGGAGAGGTGACAGGATATCCCTACAGAGGGAATACAGAAAGGTTATGCTGTCATAAAAGTATTTCTAAATCTGCATATTGAAATGATTGGGAAATACCCTAAATTTTCTTTAGGAAATACTTAAGGTTGCTTATTTTACATGATATTCTTCCTCTCCATATATTTGTTACAGCTAAGAATCATTTTTTTTCCCTCTGAATAAGCATTCCCAAGCCTATCTCCCTTGAATGTCTCCTCACTTACCCAAGTTAATAAATTTAGATGAGGGCAATGTTGTCATTTATTCAACATGGTGTGTCTTTTTCTCTCTTGTTTATGATTAAGTGCTTTCATTCCATGTTAATTTACAAGCTAGGAATTCTTTAAAATGTCAAACAGGAAATCAAATAAGTGGTTATTTAGGATAACTGAGGCTCACACAGAGCTAGTTGACTTGTTTTCATCTGCTGTGTCGAAGCCTGGATTCAGATTGTGTCATAGGGTTTTATTTGACCAAAATAATAAGTTTTTGTACCCCTTTTCTTCATTTCTAGCCCCTCTGCTTTTGCTCTGTCTGAAGTTAACATGTCACTGAAAAACGAGCCAAGGGTAAATACCTCTGCACTGCAGAAAATCGCCGCTGACATGAGTAACTTGATAGAAAATCTGGACACGCGGGAACTCCACTTTGAGGGAGAGGAAGTGGACTGTGATGTGTCTCCCAGTGATCCCAAGATACAGGAAGGTACAGACTGCTGATCTGGTGGGAGGGAGAAATAGCTCATCAGGGTTGGTTGGCAGAGCACACATTTGAAATAACTAGGACATGATTGATTTTCCTTGCACTTGTCATAACACTGGGCTGAGATCGCCTCTTAAGAGGCTTATTTGTTTTAACACATCATGATTCTTAAAAGGATGCCTAGAAAAGGCAGGTTATGCTAATGTCACATATTGCAATAACTTTATGTACTTATTTATTTTTTAGTGTATATCCCTTTCTCTGCTATTTATAACACTCAAGGATTTAAGGAGCCTAATGTACAGACGTACCTCTCCGGCTGTCCGATAAAAGCACAAGTTCTGGAAGTGGAACGCTTCACATCCACTACAAGGGTCAGAGCATTTATGGACTCACTTTTTACTTGTCAATATATATGAATTAATAATACATCGACTTCCCTTTTCCTTCCTTCTGGCTATGACCATGTTTTTAGGTTTTGGGGGTTTGTTTGTTTGTTTGTTTGTTGTTTTGTTCGTCTCTCACCTCCAAGTCCCTATCGTCTCTCCAGGTTTTGCTTCCTTTCCATTTAATCTTTATTCTCATACTCCTCTTTTCCCATTCTGGACAATGCTCTTTTTTCTTCTCTTTTTTCTTTTTTAAGGCATTTAAGGCAATTTATCAGTTTAATAAATTTCAAAGTGCCTCTTCCAGTTCTCCTGTCCCCCCAATTTTCTGTTTTATTTGTACTCTTGGGGCATAATCCATTCCACCTAGAATGTCAGATATAAGTCAAGGAAAAGTTTAGCTTTCCTTTTGCTTGTTTAGCAAGAAAATGGTGGTGCTACTTGGTTTTTAAAAGAAAACAAGTGAGGATGCTGGATTGGCTGGTGCTATTACCCTACACTACTGCTGAGAGAATTCTGCTGGCAGACCCTGCCTCTCTGATCTGTTCCCAGAACCCCATCCTGTAGTCTCCGTTCACACTTTTGCATTGAACACTGAAAAAGCTTTGGAGTAAAATGTCTTCATCAGACGAACTGGACTAGGAAAAGCTGGTAGTGTAAATACATTTACTCTGTTCCTGCCTAGATTTCACAGTTGCCATGTCTGCCCTGGGGGAACGTTGCTGCGGGGTGGTGGCCTTTGTCCCTTCAGGTTAAGCTCTAGCCATAGCGCAGTAAGGCCACCACTGGCTTCAGCCTCATGAGAAGCATAGGATAACCTTCCACTAGGAGCAGTCTTTGCTTTCCCCTTCCTCCTTGTCTTTTGGAGGGTGGCACGTGCAGCCTTGGTTTCCCAATGGTTTTGCCCAGTGTTCTGTCCCAACCTACCTGCATGTGTAGACTCCCAGTTTACACCCACCTTGATGTCCAGCCTTCACTTTAAGCTTTTCCTATGAGCTGTGTCCATGTCTCCTTGATACACCACTGAGCACAACCCACAAAGAAATGTCTCTAAGATGACCTTTGTTTTCTTATTTTGCCTGTCAGGTTTCATATTGAGAGGCAATAACATGTAGGGATTAAATGCACAGATTCTAGAGTAATACCTGTCTTTGTGTCGTGTTCTTGAGCAAGTTACTTAACCTCTCTGTTTCTCAGTTTCCTTTTCTGAATAATGGGTATAATAGTGCTTACCTATAGGTTTGTTATGAGGATTTGATAATAATAATACTGTACAGTATTATACTTATACTATGCAAGTGTACACTGTATACTCATTACTGCAGCAACTTTCTTCACCCACACTTCCTGAACACTGGTAGTGCCACAGGGCAGGGGAGTGGTGTAGACAAGGCTGGACCTTGGAAAGTGTTTCCATCCGAAAGAGAAGAGGAGAAGGCATGCTATGCCATTTGTGAAGATAAAAAGGGCTGAGCTGGTGCTCCTGGCATCCTGTATCTCCCACTGCCCTCTTACCTCCGCCGATTGCCTGTTCACTTCTTATCCTTGTGTACTAGACTCCTGAAGGCTAATGAGGGCCTTTGCTCACTGTCTCCTTTACCTGGTTTCTGGTTTCAGGTGTGTATGTGTGTGCATGTTTTTGTGTGTGCGCACACTTGTGTGCATGCCTGTGTTGGAGGGATAAGATTTGTAGGAGTTTGTCATCAGTGTGATTACAAATTTGTCTTATGTAATTTAACAGGTGAACATTTAAAAGAATAGTATTTCTACAATCACTTGTTTTTGAAAAATTTTTGCTTAAGTACTTACACAAAATAAGTAGGCTGGACTTAAGTATACTTCCATGTTACTTATTAACTAGCTTTGGTGCATTGAGAGCTTTTGGAATTTTTGTTATCTAAAATACCAACCATTTTTATTTATCACTGTAGGTACCAAGTATCAATCTTTACACTATTGAGTTAACACATGGGGAATTTAAATGGCAAGTAAAGAGGAAATTCAAGCACTTTCAAGAATTTCACAGAGAGCTTCTCAAGTACAAAGCCTTTATCCGAATCCCCCTTCCCACCAGAAGGTAACCATTCAGAATTAATTATAAAGTTATCCCAGTGTACAAATTGGACAGAAAGTGTATTTTATTCGTATTAAAGGTTAACTAGTCTATCATTGTTAGATATTTCCTATTAAATAAGCTCTTTTAAAAATAAGCCATCTCATGAAGGATATTATGAGAATAATTGCCAAAGAATAATCTAATAAATGTTTGTGTGTGTGTTTGTGTGCGCGCATGTGTGTGTTTTAGACACACATTTAGAAGACAAAACGTCAGAAGGGAGGAGCCTCGAGAGATGCCCAGTTTGCCCCGTTCATCTGAAAACATGGTTAGAGAAGAACAGTTTTTCAGCAGACGAGTAAGTCCTTTCACTGTTCTGTTGTTTTGAACATAATTTTGCAACGTTGTAAAAAATAGCATCTACCAAGGGGCAAGGTAGGACTGGCTGCAACTTTTCTCACCTACTGACTGATCACCTAGGCTGGTTTAGCTTCTCTGGAACTAGTTAGGCATCACCTTCTTCCCTAGGCCATGGAGAGGTTGCATTTTCCTAGAAGAGGAAGAGTGGTTTTTGTTAGGAGTTACATCATGAAGAAGCTGTCCTCCCTGCTGGAACATCCCTAGGTTTGTTGTGAGTCAAAGATTGAGCTCGTTGTTGTGGGTTTTGAGATCTACCCTTTTGCACGCGGTGGGTGGAAGATTATTTTTTTATTAGAAGATTAACAAGTAATTTGTTAATTTCTGTCAGTTCTGTTTTGTGATCTGAAACTTTTATGTTTCAAAGGGGCCATTTGATTCCTCCTTTTTAGTTATCTTGTTTAAAATCTTTTTAGGAGTCTGGACTAAATATTTTCTAAAATACCTAGACATATAAAGTTATACAGTTTTGAGTAACTGTGTGCATATGTATGAGTCCAAGTAAAAATGATTATGGCTATTAACAGTTAGTGATTCAGCAAAAAGATACTGGATTTTATATCATGGTCAACATGATTGACATATGTTGCTCTACTGCCTAAGCCTATATCCCCACCGTACCCCCCATACACATACACAGCCATTTTAACATATTTGAAATCAGGATACATCTTACTAGAAAGTCTTTTTTTAAAACTTTCCGCCTTTTTTTCCCTGAAAACCTATTGAAAAATGGTAGTGTATCTTTCGGTAAATTCAGTGTTAGAATTTTTAAAATACACGTTTTGGTAAAATCAGCAAAAGCTTTAAAATTACCTACTATGGGCAACTCCTATTCTAATATAAAATTCAGGGCTTGTCAGCAGTTTATAGAAGATCTAAGAATGTGGAAAGTTAAATAGCAAGAAGAGATTTAAATTATAGTTCAAGAGAACTATGGAAATAACACCCTAATGCTGTTAAGGATTCCTTGCCCAGTGGTAATATAAATAAATAATTGACTAACTTATAGAAGTTAAGATGAAATGATGATCTCGTCATTGTCACTGCTTAAATTTTTTTTATAAATATGACCATGTTAATGCTTATCTAAAATATTTACACTAACTTATAGAAGTTAAGATGAAATGATGATCTCGTCATTGTCACTGCTTAAATTTTTTTATAAATATGACCATGTTAATGCTTATCTAAAATATTTATATTACAGAAACAACTGGAAGATTACTTGACAAAGATACTAAAAATGCCCATGTATAGAAACTATCATGCCACGGTAAGTATTATTCAGTGATTTGAATTTTGAAGTAATTTATAAAATAGTAAACTGTCAGCTAAATTTTTGATCATTTTATTTACTCAGGTGTTATATCCATATCTGTATTATTCCTTGAATTAAAATAAATTAAATGAATACAAAATTGATTTGACAGCAAGGATCCAGTGTATGGTGACATGATGCTATTTTTAAAATTTTGAATAGAATTTGATATGTTTATAGCAATAGATTTAAATGAACTTGAAATGCTACTATAGGCTAGATTATCTAGAAATCAACCCTCTTCTCTCCTCAGACTTCCAGAATAATTCCAAAAAGCATGTCCAGCTCCTATGACAAATCATTGAGTAGTAAGTGATGAAAACAGCAGAGCAGAGTTGAACTCCCAGAGATAATGTGGGCATACTGCAATTGCCATCTGAGTGGCCTGCGATACCTGTAAAAAGCCTGTCTTTCCACGTGAAAGTGAGAAGGATGGGGAAAAGCTAGGGAAAGAAAAAACTCTTGAGGAATACAACAAAGGAGAGAAGACACAGTGGAGCTTAGAAGCAGCCACAGAGATGAAACTTGGGAGGCTCACACCCAGCAAGCAGGAGGGAGGAGTGGGCTTTACAGTGTCAGCAGACAATGAGCTCTGCCCTCTTGGAGGCCCTTGCAGGTGGGGTATTGGTAAAGGGTTAGCTTCCAACTATCCAGAAGTCTGGATAACTGAGAATGCACTGCATTATTGTATTTATGTCTGCACGTATGTAGGACACCACTGTAATACAGTTTATACATAACGCAGATATAAATAACGATAATTCAGTTCTGCAGAACTTAAGAGTAGCAGCAGTTGTGATTTGCCCTGTCGTTTAGAGAACGGCATCACATAAACACAAAATTAGAGACAAGGAAGCCCTCTTTGTGTTTAGGGGAGGAAGCGAGAGCGCCTGGGCCCTGCTGGGTTTCTCAGTGGCAGGAGCTGCCCTCCTGCTGTCTGGCAGCCTATTATTTGGAGGTTGGTCCAAATACGCATCCAGCTGATCCCCTTTACACACAACTGACCTGGGGCTGGGCCATGGCCCACCTTCTGCAGCAGCTTGCACTGGAATGTTCAGTGGACTTGGAGGAGCTTCTATAGCTTCATAATCCTGGACAAGTGTTTTCTCAGGGAAACCAGCAATTTGGTTTCAACCAGAGGATCTCAGGAGAAGGATGATGGGAGGGGTTTCTTCCTTTCTAGGACTTGGGAGCGGGTATGGTTGAAATAACATAACAAATAAGGACGGTACTGCGGTCGTTACTAACAATGCTTCCTCCTCTTCCTTTCTCTGAAATCAGCCATGCTGTTTAATTTAATAAAGAATTGTTTAAATGTGTACCAGTACCCAAATGCAATAGTTTTCCATTTCTTTTACTTTTTTGCCTGCCTGTGACTTTACTTTTACTATTTCTTTTGGCTTTATAACAGTACTTGGTGAATTCAGTCTTCTCTTTCCATGTATATTATTACATTTTAGATTCTAAGGTTGACTAAAGAATGTTTACATTTTTAAAATGTTCATTTAAATTACTTTTCCAGTCATAAAAATCTTTTCAAAGTTAAGCCATATTGTATTTAGAAATTCCAGCGTGCCTAGGGTGGGCCCATGGCTCACTCGGGAGAGTGCAGTGCTGATGACACCAAGGCTGGGGGTTCGGATCCTATATAGGGATGGCCGATTGGCTCACTGGCTGAGCGTGGTGCTGACAACACCAAGCCACGGGTTGCAATCCCCTTACTGGTCACACACACACAAAAATAAAATAAAATAAAATAAATAAGTAATTCCAGAGTGCCTTATAAACCTTTCCTTTGGAAGGCAAAACCTGGTTAACAACTGACTGAATATATTATCCTCCTTATTTTTGATGGCTACTGAGTTTATCCCCTCCAATAGCTGAATTCTCCAAAATGATTCAAGCACAAGATTCAATTTGTTATACACTAATTCTCTAACATCATTTTTCTTTCATACTAAATGTAATACATCCTAAAGATTAGATTTACAAGCCTCCACCTCATATTTGTGAAATTAGATTGGCATCTATGTGTTTCCTTCCATAATGGTGAGAAATATTAAAAGTCCCATCTGCTAAAAGTATATTAAAATTCATTTTTACAAATACACATGTAATAAATTTGTACTTTTGTAAGTATTAAATAAGCCTATTTTAAGTTAATTCAGGTTCTTAACCATATAGAATCATGGATTTTAGGTCAAGGGACTGGATAAAATATGTCCTTAATTTCTACAGGACCATACAGATCTGTATTTGGAATCTGTACTTTTAATAAATAGCTCAGGTGATTCTTACCATGAGGAGAGTTTGAGAACTAAACTAAAATGCTTAGAAATGTCTTGGTAAAGTTGGACCACTTTACAAAGTGGAGATAGACTTATTATGGTATGTGTGTAGTAGGATTTTTGCAGAAGGAATTGGGTTTAGGCTTCAAAGCAATGACTGTTTAGTTTTCTTAAATGGCCTTTGAAGTTAGACATGCACAGTTCTTTCCTCTACTTTTACATATGTTGGGTTCATACTCAGACAACTACCTTTTCTTCCATGATTATATTGACTTCCTTTGTTTTTAATTCCTTTTTTCCTCCTTGTGGTTCTGAAAAACAGAGCATCCTAATGTTTTTGTGAACTCAGCATCAGATAATTCCCTAGGAGATTATTGGTAATTCATTTAGTTTTCTTTACTCATTTGTAAAATGTGAACAAACCTATCTCACCTTTTCTCTAGGCATAAATATGTGGGAAAAAAAATAGCACTATCTAACTGAGTGGTACAGTAACACAAAAAATCTCAAACAGAAATTCCTTTTGTGTTCTGAAATTGTAATAGTTCTGTCTGTACTGTAGAACCCATAATCTGGGCATTTTGCTTAGAAATATATTTTCTTATCTCTAGAAAGATAAGCATTTTCTTATCTTTCTCTAGAGATTTCTTATTGTTCTCTTATCTAGAGAAAGATAAAAATGCTTATCATTCAGGGGATTAAAAAGAAAAGGAATAAGGAGCAGTTAAGTGTACTTCTTTTCTTACTTAAGACTAAAATCTGGAAATGCGCAATTTCTGAGAGAAGGGCCCTAAGCTGATAGGATCATATCCCTAACTTGAAGTAAATCATTTGACTTCTGTGACTCAAATTTCTTCTCTCTAAGATGGTGATTAGATTGAAATCCTGATTAAAAACTGCCCACAGATCAATCATCTCTGGGATTGTTCGCCTCTCCCTTGTCTTGTAGGACGGATAACTTTAACTTGAAGGGGGAGCAGGGAAAGAATGACGACTTACACAGTGTCTGCACTCCCACTGAGAACAGCTGCACTGATGTCAACAGCTGAGTCTGCAAATCAGGGGATGCATTTTCTTCTCAGGATTGAGTCTTGGAGTCAGGAGAGGCCTGAGGCCTTGGCCCAGCCTCTCAGTTTCCTCCATAGATTAGAAGTCCACTTGGTCTCCTGCAGTTGTGTTAACTGTTTTACCTGGAAGGCAGCCTTTCCTGGAGTCCCTGAGCCTATCTCAGGTATTGCCCAACACAATGCTCTTATCGTCCTTGTGTCTGATAATTTCCCCCTTGGCAGCTCCCTTGAATTTTTGCTACCTGAGGAATAAGGGGGGCCTCTGAAAGTCATTCTCTTCTTGTAATACCAAGATGGGTGAAAAGGGCAGTGTGTATATAACTGCTGGGAAACTTCCCGGGTGCATTACCCCTAGGGTTTGCTGCTTCTCTCTTGGCATGGAAACCTTTTTTGCTTCTCTGTTTTTCTACCTATTTCAGCATCCAATGGATAAGTCACATTGGAATTTTTTATTTGAGACTGCTTTTCACCTGGGGCCAAGAACATGACTTATTTACTTATTTTTGTATTTTAATTTTAATTAATTAATTTTTTATTTTAATTTATCAATATACAATGTAGTTGATTTTTGTGTCCCTTTACCAATTCCTCTTTCCCCCCTCCCTCTTCTCCCTTCCTGCCATCAACATCATATCTGCAAGAACATGATTTAATTGCATTTTTCACAAGTTCCTTTGCCAAACAACAAAAACAAAAAGGTATTGATTAGTACATTACTGAAGAGATCAATGGAATAAGCCCTATGGAGTATTGTCAGGTTAAATTGATCTTTAGTTCTTATTCCTGAGATATACCTGCCCAAGTGGAGAGTGGAATTCTTATCACTGAGGATGCACTGAGAAGTGTGGACAACAAAATCTTTGTTAAATTTCAATTTTTACTAATTAGGTCTGCCTCTCATTTGACATTGACACATTTCCTTTCAATTTAATAAATCTGTTTTAGAACAACATTTACTGTCAGAGATTTTTTTCTCTACAATAGGGCTGGTTCCTCCTTAAAATCTCTCTTTAGTTAAACTTTACTAAGCCATTAGGATAAATTAAATTTCATATTAATGTGCAATTTTTAATTTTCTACATTACTAATGTATGCTTTTTTATTTAAATGAAATTCTTTACACTTAGCAATTTTGTTATATTTTAAAATAATGATTTCTGAATTATTTCAGATAATATTTCTGTTGTCAACTATTTGATAAGAGCTATGTGAATAAGGAAATATCCAGATATTAGATAAGTGGTTTCCTTGATTTTTGTTTTCTACTTCCTGTTCTCCCATTCAAAGTCTGTGACTTTGCAATAAATTAGTTATACCTGTGTAGTAGTTTCTTCAGATGTAAACTAAGTTTGACATTATCTGTCTGCTCCCCAGAAATAAAGTGAGAAATTATAGTTTAGGATCTTCACACATTTTGGATTCTATGGTTGACAATCTGAATGTCATTTCTAATAACCCATGGGTTACTACATTTTCCAATTGGAAGACATTTCCACAAATCAGATAGAAAATGTATGGCACTAAATCACCACTTTTTATATAAGAAATGAAATGTAAAGACCTTGACTTTTTAAATCCTTATTTTAAGAATGCTGTGCGAAGGGCCGGCCCGTGGCTCACTTGGGAGAGCGTGGTGCTGACAACACCAAGTCAAGGGTTAAGATCCCCTTACCGGTCATCTTTTTTTTTAAAAAAAGAATGCTGTGCGAAGGGCCGGCCCGTGGCTCACTTGGGAGAGCGTGGTGCTGACAACACCAAGTCAAGGGTTAAGATCCCCTTTCCGGTCATCTTTAAAAAAAAAAAAAAAAAAAAGTAAATTGGAAACAATAGAATATCTAACTCTAGGTGTTTCGAGGATAACTTGAGGTCAAAGCCCTGCATATGCTAAGCATCCCATAATGTTGATTGTTTTTCTTTTGTGCTTCTACTTTTGCATCCAGCCCCCACCTACCTAGAATATGCAGGAAAATCAATTTGAGTAAGATAAATTTGTTGAATAACCTTTTGCTTGTGCAGCTTAGTTTTGAAGGTACTGACTTTGGTCTGTCTTCGTATTGAATCTACCCATTGATAATTATGTGATCTTGGACAACTTATTTAACTTCTCTAAACTAGGAGTTGGCAAACTAGGGCCCATGGGCCAAATCAAGCCCACTGCCTGTTTTGTGTGTTCTATTAGCTAAGAATAGTTTTTATATTTTTAAGTGGTTGAAAAAAAATCAAAGGAAGAATATTATTTTGTGACACATGAAAATATATCCTATTCATATTTTAGTCTCCGTAAGTAAAGTTTACTTGAACACAACCACACTCGTTCAGTTATGTATTGTCCATGGCTTCTTTCATGCTGCAATGGCAGAGTTGAGCAGTTGCAACAGAGACTATGGCCCACAAAGCCCCAAATATTTACTGCCCAGCTCTTTGCAGGAAAAATTTGCCTATCCCTGCTCTAAACCTCAATTTCCTCTTCTGTACAATGGGACAAATAGCCCTGGCTTCAAAGGGGTTTGAGATAGTACATGAAAAATGCTTAGTACAGTGCCAGCACAGAATAAGCATTCAATAAATGTTAGCCACAGCTGTTATCAGAGTATTTATAGTTTTTAATCTTCTTGTAATTTGTACAGTGAAGGTGGGCCTAAAATTCTCTTTCAATTCATTGAAAAATAATTCTGTCTGTTATGTCCGGTGTTCAACAACCCCCCCAGTCTTTCATCAACTTGCATTGCCTTTTAATATACAGTGAAGGTGGGCCTAAAATTCTCTTTCAATTCATTGAAAAATAATTCTTTCTGTTATGTCCGGTGTTCAACAACCCCCCCAGTCTTTCATCAACTTGCATTGCCTTTTAATCTTCCACTACCCTCCTTCACCTTATTGACTGTAGCCCAACTATTCATCCTGTCTCCTTCTTACACTTTCTTTGTTCTATTCCCCTTCATATCCCGTTTCACATGCCCAAGTCTAGTCCATCTTCAAGAACCTGTACCAATATCACTCCTGTCTTGTATTCTCTAATTATTTGTGTGTACACTATGCCACACAACCTGCTCCCCTCACAACAAAAACAAACACAAAAGAACACTGAGAGTAAATTCCCTCCACAACCTTCTTGGGCATGGTGTCTTAGGGCAGACATCACTCTCTTGGTTGTGTCTTAATTGTGTACGTACTTCTAATGTGCACTCTTTCAGGGCAATACCATTGTTATTGATCTGTGTAGTCTGTAGGGTACACCAGTTTATACACATAGCAGTACTTAATATGTGTTTTTTAATGTATAAATTTTGTTTTATTTGCTTTCTAAAGTGTGGATTTTTGGCCTCTTTTCAGACAGAATTCCTTGATATAAGCCAACTATCTTTCATCCATGATCTGGGACCAAAGGGCATGTAAGTTGCAGTGGACCTTTAGGGGAAGTGTGAAAAGCTGATAAGTGTTAGCATTTGATTTAGTGGCATGTCATGGTGATGGAGCCCGCCTGCTAGCTTTACTGCTAGTTTCTCTTCTCCCCAGAAGAGTAAGAGCAGCTGAGGGGATCTATCTATACAAAACAGGGCATCTCCTACAATCACCAATGGTGGGAACTGCTCCACTGTTTTTCTCATGTGCTTATAGTAGAGTCCCTAACCCAAGAGTGGGAGAGTTCAATACACGTAGCGAGTATGATGTGTGGGAGAATGCGTTAAAGATCAAATATATAAGATACCTCCGTCCAATTACGTAAACAAGTTTACTATTTATCACTCATTTTGATGACTATTTAAAAATAACACTGTGTAAAATATGTGCTGTATAACAGATGGAAATCTACTTAATAATTATTTTCCTTCACGAGAGTAGTTTGATAATAGAAAGAGCTTAACTTAATTTTAGCTCTTTGAGAGCATTGTTAGTAGTTGTTTTAAATTTTTTTCCCCTTTGTTTAGCCATTGTTATTGCTCTTTCTTGTCACATCTTTCAAAATCAAGATCTTACCACCTTAAAAGCTATAGTAGCCTTTCCCTACTTCCTTGGGCATGGCTCAGTTGCTAGAACTGACTGCAAAGGGATGCAGAAATGCTCGGGAATCTGTGGTGAGCCCCACCCTGGCATGGTCTCCATGGCACCTGAACCCCTTGCAGGCATGTGGAAATGTGCGGGGTCTTTTTTAGGTTGTCACAGTGACTGGAGGGAACAGTTAGCATTTAGAGCCAGGAGCCAGGATGCTTATGGTCCTGCATTGTACACAACAGAATTTTGCTGCTCCAAATGCCAACAGGGCTACATCAGACCAAAGAGCTTTTAAGATTAGCTGCTATAGCCCTGGGGCCCATAAGGGGACCCGAGGTATGCAGCTGGGAACCGGACCCCCCCCTCTTACAACCAGGCACACCACACCAGTGCCTCACGTCTGCCCGTGGACCTGAGGCATGGAGAAGGGGACCAGACCCCCCTCCCACAACCAAGTACCCCGTACCAGTGCCTCAGGGCCCACCTTGGGACCTAGGGTATGGAGTTTGGGACTGGACGCCCCTCCCACAACCAGGCACACTGTGCCAGTGCCTTGGGACCCACTCGGTGACCAAGGGCATGGAACTGGGGATCAGACACTCTCCACAACCAGGCACACTGCCAGCACCACAGAGCAGGCCAAAAACATCTCCTCCATGTGGATGGCCCATCACAGCCACCACAATAACCATGGCTGCCATGAAGGCAGCTAGATGCCATAACCACCACACAGATGTTCCACAAGCCACTGGAGTGAGTTGATACAAGGAGAGTCACCAGCAGAGATAAAGAAAGAAGGAGGATGTCTCCCTCCACAGAGCCCATTTCATAGTGATGGAAGAGACATCTGCTGTATGATAATATTGGGGGACCTGATCACACCTCTCAGCATTGGACAGATCATTTGGGTAGCAGATCAACAAAGTAACCATTATTCTTTCAGAGGGAGAGAAGAAATCTAGGGTGATTAGAGCGGGGAGGGGGAGAGAAAGGGGAATGGGGAGGGATTGGACAAGGGACATGAAGAATAATTACAATTTGTAACAATATATATGCTAGTAATATTGATTTGATCAACATATGTAAATGTTGAATCCCCAAAATATGCAAATGTTGAACCCCCAAAATATGCATAATCAAATATGATTCATAAAAATTAGAAAGAAAAAAGATTTGAAGATCCTATTTTTAGGAAAATATTTTTTCAATACAGCTTTGATCTCTCTGAGACTTTGACTCAGCTACAAACTCCTTGAAATTCTTTTCTCTTTTAGGGTTCTTTGGCATTGATTTCCAGATTCTATTCCTACTCCATATCTTTCTCAGTATCCATTGCTGGTTTCCTGGGTTCTCTTTATTTATATACTTCCTATTTGGGGCATATAAATAATTTTGTCCCTTAAGCTTTTAAGAGTGGGGAGGAAAGTCGTGTGAAAATGATGCTATTTATTTAGTCCTGAAGGGGAGACTGGACAAGCAAGCTAAGTGTGAGTTGGAAATTTGAAGATGATAGGGTTAATTTCATGTCTCTTTCAGAGAAGGTATGATAATGAAAAGATCCGGGGGACACAGAATACCAGGTTTAAATTGCTGTGGTCAGGGAAGAGCCTGCTACCGATGGTCAAAAAGGTAAGACCTACGGGTTTTGTGTTTGTTTTAGTAAACTGGGTATATGGGGAAGCTTTTCATACTAGTTTTAAAATATAAGTAAATTATAAATCTTTTGAAAGCCATGGAAGAGCAAATTTTTAATTGTATTTTAAATTTCATATCCCAGCATCCATTTAAATATTCTACCAAAAACTAGACTTGTAGACAGAGTATACAGATTATATTATATACATAAAAACCCAGTGGATCATAGGACTTGCAAATTAGCCAAAGAAGATACAAAAATGACCAATGAGCATATGAAAAGGTGTTCAACATCACTAGTCCTTAGGGCAATGTATATTAAAACTACAACAAGATACAATTTTACACTCACTAGGAGATGGACAGTAATCAAAAAGATGGACAGTAACAAGTGTTGGCGAGGATGTAGAGGAATTGGAACCCTCATACATTGCTGGTGGGGATGTACAATGGCACAGACACTTTGGAAAACAGTCTGGCGGTTCTTTAAAATGTTGAACATAGAGTTACCATATGCCCCAGCAATTCTACTCCTAGATATTTGCCAGAGAAGATCGAAAAAAATGTCTGTACCAAAACTTGTAAATAAACATCCGTAGCAACATTATTCATGATAGCCAATAAAGTGTAAACAATTCAAATGTCCATCAATTGATGAATGGATAAACAAAATGTGGTATATCCATACCACATTGGAATATTGTTCAGCCATGAAGAGGACTAAAGACTACTGATGGGTATGAGCTTTCTTTTTTTTTTTTTTTTTTTTTTTTTTTTTTTTCCGTGTCCGGCAACAGATCACAACCCTCAGTGTCGCCCCCGCACAGGACCGGGACCGGCAACGGGATCGCAACCCCCGGCACTGCCCCCGCGCCTCGCTCAGCCAGCGAGCGGGAACCGGTCTGCATGTGGGATCCGAACCCTCGGCAGGAGCGCCTCCGCGCTTCCCAAGCGGCGCACTAGCACAGTGCGCCACCGGGCCGGCCCATGAGCTTTCTTTTTGAGGTGACAAAAAGAAATTAAGTGATCATAATAGTTGCACGACTCCATGGATATACTAAAAACCACTGAACTGAACACTTAAAAAAATAAAAAATAAAAATTGGTCAGACATCAGGGATGAGAACTTTAGACCTAATATTTGTAAAAAAATGTATATTATGATAAGTGTGATATAGATAGAGATCTTTAATTCATATCTTATGTCTTAAACTAAAGACTGCTTGTGGAGAAGTAGTCTCATCTAACTCTTGTGTCCTGCAAGTTTTGCACATAATAGAAAATAACTATTTGTTGCAATAAAAATGTACTGGGATTTTTAAAAACTGTTAAAACGCTATTAAGAAATCAGATATAAATGTTTTATATCTGGATATAATATTTCCCTCAACTTGAAAATGGTATATGAGTTCATGTGTATATATGGAATTGAGCTATGTGTGTATTCAAAGTATATAATATTAAAACTGATCTACATTTAAACATATTTATTTAAAATATACTATCAGCAAAAATACCATTAAATTGGACTTTCATTTTCTGGGCTTTGAAAGGAGAGAAGAAATTACAAAACAAAGATTAGAAGATTAAACTAAAGAAAATTAAAAATCTGTTACAAAAAGAATTTTACTAAAATGAAAAGGGAATTAATATGCTAGAAAAAGTATTTGCTTTCAGATAAACTTCTCGAACTTGTATAAACTCAGGGTATAAGTAATATCACAGGAAAAACAGAGACTCCCGCTTAAGGTATCTTCTCACCCCAATTATACAGAACCCAGGCAATACTCAGACCAAATGCCCAGCAGGGACAGGATGGGGTGTAAGCCAGCCTGTCACTGATACTTGCTCACACCATGCCGCTCCTGGAGGCTGGTCCTTCCAGCACACTGGGGCCCTTGTGCCGTATCCTTCTGACCATTCTTTCCCAATCACTAACTTTGCCTAAGTCAGCTGCTATGTGCCATCCACAGTGTTTCAGACTTTAAGCACCAGTGGTTCTTTGACCATTGACTCTCTGGGCTGCCAGAGCCCTCCTCTTCCTGTGTGCAGAGTAGGTTGCAAGTGTCAACAGCCCCCAGGAGCAGCTCTCAGCCAAGAGCTGACTCCCTCCCCATCCTCCTTCCCCCCTCATTTGGGACAATTCTGCAATGTGCTCTGCTCTGTCTCCCAGAGCTCTCCAATAGGCTTGCAGCCCAGTTGCCCATAATAAAGTGCATGAAAATACATGCCTTGTGGCTCCCTTCCTTGCTCTTTCTTCCTGTCCTTCCCTACTTTAGGGAAGTGCTTAGTGCTTTCTGGCCCCTCCCTAATAAGCTCCTTTGTGAACTACTTTATACACTCACATCCTCATCTCAGAATTTACTTCTGGGGCAACCTAACCTAAGGCATTTACTCAAGGAATGGAAGCCTTGGTCTGGTTCATTCAGACATTTACTGAGTGCCTAATGTATACCAGGTTGCGTTCTAGCCACTGTGAAAATAGCAGTGACTGAGATGAAGACTCTGCCCTCGTGGAGCTCTGTTGGAGGGGAAAGGCAGGCAGTACTAAGTGGATAACTTATGTATGTTACGTAAACTTAGGTGCTGATAAGAGCTTTGAAGGTGGGGGGAGGGAGCAATGGGATAGTGAGGAATTTGAGGACTAAAGAGAATGACTTTAGCTCTAGGAGTCAAGGATGGGCTCACTGAGGACCCGTCTTTTGAGTTATAACCTCTATGAGAAGCAGCAGCCAGGAAAGATGAGGGAAGACTTTGTTACACAAAAGAATGCCACCTCTCTTTTATTAAACTTGAGATGAAATCATGCTTCAATCAGGGCAATCTAAAAAGATATGATCCTCCTTGGAATGAAATGTGTCATCACTTTAAATTGTGTAAATCTTTCCACGAGATTAAAGCCTTGGTTCCATATTAATATTTCCTGAGTCACATATATAGGATTTGAAATATCATCATATTAGATGATATTAGACATCATATTAGATGATAAAGTGTCACTGACAAATTAGCATAGAAAGTTTCTCACAGTAGAAGACTCTTGGTGTCTAAATGGTTACTTTTAAAGGCAACTGCTATGGGGTAAATGTGTTCCTGTGTTGGAAACTGTAACTGTTAAGAGGGTGGGAAATCAGAATATGGTATTTAAAAGGTGAGGTCTTTGAGAGGTGATTGGATCATGAGGATTCTGTCCTTATGAATTGATTAATCCATTCATGAGTTGTCACGGGTATGGACTGGGCTTTATCAGGAGAGCACACGAAAGAGCTCTTGCCATCCACGCCATGTGATTGCCTGTGTCACCACAGGACTCTGTAGAGAGTTCCCACCCAGAAGGCCTCACCAGATGTGCCCCCTTGACTGTGGACCTCCCAGCCTCCAAAACTGTAAGAAATAAATTCTGTTTCTTTATAAGTTACCCAGTTTCAGGTATTCTGTTATAAATGACAGAAAACAAACTAATACAGTGACCTCATTCATAATTCATTTTGTTCTTTTGTAGCCGTAAAAAAAATTCTGATAGCTTTCTATTCTATATTAACAAATTGAGGTAAGGCAAACAGGGCAATTAAACTTTCAACCAAGTTTCAGAGACTAGAAAAAAGAAAGAAAAAGAAAAGCACACAGGAAATTTCCTTCCACAATGTAAAACATCTGCTTAAACAGCATATTACTGAGCTACTTCTCTGCACCTGGTAGTAGGCTAGATGTTAAGTTTCTCATCTAACAATGTCTTAAGGGAAACAGATGTATAATGTTAAGAAATAAATTTAGCATTTACTTTGCTATGAGTTATACCAAGAATTAAAATTTTTAGATAGTGACAATATCTAAATAGTTTCATTTACTCTCTGGGACCCATTCACATGACCATTACTTAGGGGGAATGGTGGCTTTGCCTGAAGACTTGCTCTGGGCTGCCAGAGATTATTCTAGGCCCTGGGCAGATAGGAGTGGACATAACAGCCACGTTCCCTTTTCTCATGGATCTTACTCCCTAGTGCAAGAGACAGTCAATAAACAAGCAGACAAATAAATAAATTCAGATAGTGATTGGTGCTGTGAAGAAGATAAAGCAGGACAACATGGAAGAGTGGAGTTGGTGGGGCGGCTGAGGACAGCTTTCTAGATCGAGTAGCCTCCCTCTAGAGGAATGTTTAAGCAGAGGTTTGATGGACAAGATCACGGGAGGATCTGGAAGAAACAGTTTCTAGCCAGAGGAATAGCAAATGTAGAGGCCCCAAGAAGAACAAGCTTAGCAAGTCTGAAGAACAGTCAGATCAGCACGGTGGGAAATAACAGTAGGACATGAGCTGAGAAGGGGAGGGACGGCTCAAGCGGGCCAGTGCCCTGGGTCTGGGCCACACTGTCTTGCTGCATAGTTTGCATCAAAGGCCATGCTGGGAGAAGGGACGGTAGCTAAGGGGGGAACTTTAACAGATATGTGGTCCATCTGCTATATTTTAGCCTTAACCAAGTTTTATCAACAGGCAGCTACATTTCTGAACTCATAACTCAGCCCCATCAGAATCACTGAGTTTACCCTTTGATATCATGACCTTGGTATCTATATTGAGGATTGTTATAAGAATTCTTATAAAATGTATAATTTCTGCATTTGCAGAAAACTGTTGTTGAGAATATTGTCCATTATTTTGTTCAGTTGCCTTATGTTAGATCCCCAATGAGAAACTCCCTTTGGAATTTAGTTTGGGAGGAGGACACCTTTATTTCTTTAATTTATTAATTCGACCAGAGAAACCAGGAAGCTCAAACTCACGCTGGCATGCCATCTCTGTGATTATGTTAGCTTTTGTGGTTAGGTATTTGCTTTCTGTGACCTTGATGTTTCTCCTTTTATTAACCATATCACATGTATGCCCTTTACTGTAAGTTATCCTAAATCTATCCTGCCCCCTTTTATTGGGAAGGAGATAGCCTATGTCTTAAAAACCTAATTAATGAAATGATACTATGTGGAAATTAATATAGATTTGTCTCTATTCAATTCCAAATTATAAAGCCACAAAAATGCAATGTGATTAGCAAATTCAGTAAAGATTTACTATACAATTATTTTAAATACTGAGCTCCCATGCTACCTTTACAATATTACTTAATTTATATTTAGGTATTCCAACCTTTCTATTTCGTATGGAATCACCTAGTGTTTTACTTTGTCTTATGTGTGATTTTATGTTCATTGTTACCTTATTCAGTTATCAGCTGATTCACTTCATCACTATACAGCTACAGATAAATATGAATACATGGCAGCATGGTAAAGTTACCATTTGCACTCACTTTAAATGGATCCCATCTCTGCTCTCTTGCTCTTCCCCTTGTCTTGCCTGTCATCTACATCTTTACTTCTCAAAGTGTGGTCCTAGTATGGGCCATCACCTATGAGCTCGTTAGAAATGCAGAGTCTCAGGCCTGCCCCACTGAATCAGAATCTGCATTTTAACAGGATCCCCAGGTGACGTATATGCACACTGGAGGGTGAGAAGAGCTATTCTGTATTACTGCAGTAGCTTGCTAACCTGCCACACTACGTCCTTCATTCTTTCTTAATAAAACATAGTTCCAGTGATATTATTGTCTTTTGCCTTGCCAGGGCATGAGGCGTTCCTTATTTAATAAGCATCTTGGTATTTTTGTTAAAAACACGGATTCTCAGGCCTTTTTAAAGGTCCTGGGGTGGAGCCTGGGAATTTGGTATTCTTACAAGCATCCCGAGAGATTCTGATTATCAGACAAGCTTAGGAAACACTGGTTCCATGATACAAAGCCAGCCTCCTCAGCCTGGTTTCCAGACCCTCCTCAGTGTGGCCTTTGCCCATCTCCCCCACTCTTTCCTCTCTTGCTGTACTCCCTGTGACCCTGGCCACACCAAACTGTTCTCCCAACACATGCAGCATTTCCACACCTTAGTGCCTTTGGTAACTCTTTCCTCCATGGGGTTTGTACACCTTGACCCTCCCCGCTTCAGGGACCCTTCCTGGCCTCGCTCCGACACTCCCTCTTCAGGAGAACGCCACTGGCTTGTCCTCTTAGTTGGAACTAAGGACACCTTCTTCCTTGTACCCATCCCTTTTTGCTTTTCTCTTCTAGTGCCTATTCCAGGCGGCTGAGAATTATCATAGTGTGTGCTCCCACTAGCCTGGTAAGCTCCTTTGAGAGCTTTTGATTTATCTTTGTGCTATTTCCTCCTCTTCCCTAAACCCAGCTGTCCTTTTGCATTATGAAGCTCTTAAATGTATATTGAATTGGATGGAAATACTTTCAGAGATGTTTGTGTGCCATTGAGCATCATTTATTAAATGTCCTTAAAACTACAAATGATTTGAAACGAACAACAGAATACATGGAGTGTCGGCTGTTTACTGGATTCTTTAAAGGGCATTTTACTTACTGGTAGATTTATTTGCCTCTTTCATGATAGTTTATGTTAGCAAACACCAACCCATTACATTCTTCCAGTGGCTGGGGCTCTTTTGTACACTCTGTGAGCACTACCTGCCAGTATCAGGGACATTCTTCGAGGTTTTGCCATTAGTGTTTAAAGAGCTACTGAATTATTTTGAATTGTTTGGTGCCAATACTACATAGAAAAACATAATAGAAATGTTTTGTTTGTTTGTTTGTTTCATAGTGATTTTTAACAATAAATTCTCTTCGTGAAAAGTGAAATTATGTCTGTGGTCCGCTAGAGTGTTTTACTTAAGACTTGCCATAATAATTTGTTCCTTTTGTTTTCATAATTCAATACAATTTTAAAAATACTTGTTACCTCCTTACAGGTGGTTAATAGTGAAAGATTCCTTTTTATTGTACATGAAACCAGACAGTGGTGCTATAGCCTTTGTCCTGCTGGTAGACAAAGAATTCAGAATTAAGGTGGGAAAGAAGGAAACAGAAACGAAATATGGACTCCGAATTGATAATCTCTCAAGGTAGAAATTTCAAATATTTCTTCCAAAATCTCATAAAAATAAAGTATTTTTCTCTCAACCTTTTAAGCGAGGAGGTAAAATAATTTCAGTGTTAAAAATGTACTTAGAACTCATCCTCAATCAAAAGTAATTAATACTTTTTTGTTGTATATATTTTTAGGAATAGAATATCCTGTGTGCAGCAGAGTCAGAATAAATGTGTAGTGTGTTCCTGTTTTAACAAAATTTACTACTCAATTTACCAATTTACCCAACAGATAAAGGGTGATAGTTCATATTTTTAAAAAATAGAATAAAATTTTGCTTTATAAATTAGCATGCTTTAATTAACAAAACACCTAAAAAGTGATCTGATTTACAAAAATTCTGTTTACGTACAGAT